CGGTGCCCGCCCCGGCCTTGGCCTTGGCCTTGGCCCGGGTCGGGTGTAAGTCCAACCGCTGCTGCATTTTGCGGCTCAGGTGCAGCGGTAACTGCCGCCCCGGGACCCGCTCTCCCTCTCCCGCTCCGCCGCCGCCATCACCTCCTCCTCCTCCTCCTCCTTCATCATCACCACCTCCGCCATCCCCCCCCCCTCCTCCCCCTCTCCCCCCCAGGCCCGAGGACACCAGGCGGATCAGCACGAAATCAGCCGCAGATGGAGAGCTCATCACCTCCTCCTCCTCTCTCCTCTCCTCCTCTCTCCTCTCCTCTCCTCTCTCTTTCCTTCCCTTCTTCCTCACTCGCTCTTCCTCCTCTCCTCTCCTCCTCTCCTCTCCTCTCTCTCTCTCTCTCCCGCACACGCGGGGAATGTCTGAGTGTCTGTGTCTGTGTGTGTGTGTATCTTTGAGTGTGAGTGTGAGTCTCTGAGTGTGAGTATCTCTGAGTGTATTTGGGAGTGTGAGTCTCAGTGTGACTATCTCTGAGTGTGAGTGTGAGTATCTGTGAGTGTGTGTGTCAGTATCTCTGAGTGTGAGTGTCAGTATCTCTGAGTGTGAGTATCTCTGAGTGTGAGTGTGAGTATCTGTGAGTGTGTGTGTCAGTATCTCTGAGTGTGAGTATCTCTAAGTGTGAGTATCTGAGTGTGAGTATCTGAGTGTGAGTATCTGTGAGTGTGTGTATGAGTATCTGAGTGTGAGTATCTGAGTGTGAGTATCTGTGAGTGTGAGTATCTCTGAGTGTGTGTGTCAGTATCTCTGAGTGTGAGTATCTCTAAGTGTGAGTATCTGAGTGTGAGTATCTGAGTCTGAGTGTGAGTATCTGAGTCTGAGTGTGAGTATCTGAGTGTGAGTATCTGAGTGTGAGTATCTGAGTGTGAGTGTGAGTATCTGAGTGTGAGTATCTGTGAGTGTGAGTATCTCTGAGTGTGTGTGTCAGTATCTCTAAGTGTGAGTATCTGAGTGTGAGTATCTGAGTGTGAGTGTGAGTATCTGTGAGTGTGTGTGTGAGTATCTGAGTGTGAGTATCTGTGAGTGTGAGTATCTGTGAGTGTATTTGGGAGTGTGTGTGTGTTGCAGTTATTAACTATGTAGTCGCGACCCCATGGAGTCCATCCATCACTAAACCGACATATACTGTTCCTGGCGCTCATCTGCTTATTGCTACACCCTTCCCCCCCACAGCCCCCCACCCCCACCCCACAGCCCCCCACCCCACAGCCCCCACCCCACAGCCCCCCACCCCACAGCCCCCCCCCCACCCCCACCCCACAGCCCCCCACCCCACAGCCCCCCACCCCACAGCCCCCACCCCACAGCCCCCCCCCCACCCCCACCCCACAGCCCCCCACCCCACAGCCCCCCCACCCCACAGCCCCCCACCCCACAGCCCCCCACCCCCCACCCCACAGCCCCCCACCCCCACAGCCCCCCACCCCACAGCCCCCCCCCACCCCCACCCCACAGCCCCCCACCCCACAGCCCCCCCCCCACCCCACAGCCCCCCCCACAGCCCCCCACCCCACAGCCCCCACCCCACAGCCCCCACCCCACAGCCCCCCACCCCACAGCCCCCCACCCCACCCCCACCCCACAGCCCCCCACCCCCACAGCCCCACCCCACAGCCCCCACCCCAGCCCCCCAGCCCCTACCCCACAGCCCCCCACCCCCTCCCTCCCGAATCATCTCAGACCCACTGCCGAGAAGAAAATTAATGCAGCAAAAATGAGTGCAGTCGGGAGTCTTTTTGCCGCCCCGAAAGCGACACGTCTCAACATCAGCCGCAATCGATCACGTCGAGATTTCTCGCCTAACGACCCCACCCCCCCCCCCCCCCACCCCCCACCCCACCCCCCCACGCAAGTCACTGACCGCATTAAAACTGGGCACGAAATGGACCGGCTTCACAGACGCACACACACGCACACACACAAAAAAAAACTTTCCCCCTCCTTTTCCTTTCTCTCCCCCCATCCCTCGGCCTCGGCCCCTCTCCCCGAAACAAGCGGCGCCCGCTGACGGGTCCCGCAGACTCGACGCAATCGCTTTCCGCGGTCGGCGCGGCCCGAATCGCCGGCTCAGCTGCTAACGGCACGGACGGCGGCGCCCGCGCGCGCGCGCGCCGACGTAGGCACTTTTATGCGGTTTGCAAGATTTCATCTCTCCTTTCATCTCTTTCCCCCACTTCCCCCTTTTTTTTTTCCCCCCCCTTTGGCTTCAAGGAAATCAAAACGAATAAAATACAAGTTTTGTGTTGTTTTAAACACGCGCACACGTCGTCCCGTGGAGAAACGCAGAGAGGGAGAGGCACCGAGATAGAAGTACCAAAATTAACTCTTGAAACCTCGGGCAAGTTTCCTTACTCCACACAGAGCCTAATAATAATCCCTCCAAAACCCAAAACAATAATAAATTGGTCATTTTCAATCCACGACTGTTTGTGGGACATTGCTGTGCGCAATTAGCTGCCGCGTTCGCCCACAAATATACAGTCAATTCACTTTACAGTATATTCTGTGAAGCGCTTTGGGACGTCCTCCCGACGTGAAAAGCGCTATATCAAATGCAAGGATTATTATTATTATTATCTACAAGCGAAACGAAAGGTCATATTTAAAGCCCTTCTCTCTCTCTCTCTCTCTCTCTCTGTGCACAGACTGTGCAAGGATTTAACCCCTTCTTATCTTCTCGGGATAAGAGAGAGAGGAGCGGGATAATTCCACCTGGGTCCGGGTTTTCTTTAATCCGCATTAAATCTGGAGCCCACTTTTCTACCGAATATCCTGCCCCGTTGCATGAGAATAATAATAATCCTTGCATGTGATATGGAGCCTTATCACGTCTTCCAGACGTCTCGAAGCGCTTCGCAGAATGTACTGTGAAGTGAATTGACTGTATTTTCAACACCTGCCCTTCTGCGCAGGTTGGAGTCACGTTATTCCGCAATGGTTCCACAAATAAACAGTCGCTACACTTCACAGCAATTTCCTGTGCAGTGCGTTTGGGCGCTACCGTCAAATGCAAGTGCGGTATTGTTCGTTATTAATATTCACATAACTCGTTACGGTTATTAATTATGGTCGGCATTTAATTATTATTAACAAGAAGAAGTCACTGATCAACAGAAAGAAGCCTCGGGGGCAAGTTTAGCTCATGATTTCGTTCCCATGACCTCGGAATATCCTCGCCTGATTTTATCCGAAATACGTCACATCTTATCATCTCAGATCAGATCACCTTAATCATTTTGCCCCCTCGCGAGATTAAACTGGTTCAGCTGAGCTTTTTCATGGCATCTAAAGCTTGGCACGGTCCCCACTGTCCTTCCCTGAACCCTTTCCACTGGCATTATATCGCTGATCGTACCACAACACGCACCGATCGTGTGTGTCCCCCCCCCTCTCGTTACAGTTGAACGTGCATTTGCGAACTGCATATGAACCCCTCATTGTATTTGCCTTTGCACATTGCGCCCCACTCTGTCTCAGTGTCTCGTCAAGTGCTGTAAGCCGTTTATGTTTGCCTGCGAGTACCCAGTCACTACACCGGACGGCAGTTCCCCGCAAAGTTCTTTGAGACGCGGCAGACGCTAAACCAAATGAAGGAATAATCACAGGTTATAACATCGTGGTCAGGATCCGGAGTCTCAGACCCTGTGTGATAACGAGGATCGCTCAAAAATAAGGCTGGGTCAGCACTTCTGGGTTGTCAGGTCGCTGATGATATAATTTCCGGTGCGTCGGAAATTGGGGGAAGTAATTTCCTGTTTCCTTTGCGCTATTCATTCGCTCTGTTATA